CGGACCGGTGTGCGCGTTTGTGTTTGAGGCGTGGACCCCGTTTCTAAGTTAAATTCCTATTCAGAGAGTTTATGCTCTAGCAAGCAGTTAGTAGTCAGACCCGAATGAAGCCCCTTCTCTAAAGCGGATGCACCATCAATACTTCATTGAAAAAAGATCCGTCTTGCCTGGAATCAGGAGGTCACCGTTGGGTTCCGGTCAGGGCACATGCGGATTGCGGGCTTGAGCCCCAGTGGGGTGTGCAGGGGGCAGCGATCAATAATTCCCATCCTTGATGTTTCTCTCTCTTCCAGAGAAAGAAAGGAGCAAACTGTCAAACACACTGAGAACTCTTAGTTCTTAAGTCACTCCCACCTCTATTAGGCAAGCTCCTTAGAGTTGGACCTGAGGAAATGGCCTTCCTTTAAAAAATATATATATATATTTTTCTCTCTCTTCCTCTCTGAAATCAATAACTTATGTTATATAAATATATAAATTATAGATTTATATATATGAATGATATATATTTATATATAAATTATATATATCACTTATAATTACATATAAGTGATATATATAATTTATATATAAATATATATCATTCATATATATAAATCTATAATTTATATATTTATATAACATAAGTTATTGATTTCAGAGAGGAAGAGAGAGAAAAATATATATATATATTTTTTAAAGGAAGGCCATTTCCTCAGGTCCAACTCTAAGGAGCTTGCCTAATAGAGGTGGGAGTGACTTAAGAACTAAGAGTTCTCAGTGTGTTTGACAGTTTGCTCCTTTCTTTCTCTGATAAGATAGTAACTGTCCCTAGTGAAGCCCCCAGCAGTGCTCCAGCCAGAACCCAGACCCTAGCAGGCGTGTGAAGCTGCTCACGCTTCTACTCCGCTTGGCTCATTTCACGCTGGGTAACAGAAGGGCCTTCCTGAGGTTGCTGTCACCATGCCTGCCTCTCACCTGAGGCTGGCAGACTGGCCGATGTAGGAGTGTTTTCTCAGACGCTGTCATGGAGGTCAAGGGGGAGAGGGAAAAGGGAAGCAGATGCTGAGGCCCCAGAGGACATAGTGAGAGGGAGCTGGTTCCCGAGGTGCCATGAGTAAGGGGCACTACCCTGTCTTCTAAATTACAGTGAGCCCCATGCCCAGCCCAGGAGCCAGGAGGTATTCCTGCTCCTTGGGTGGGAATCAGTGTGTCCTACCCCAACAAAGAGTCCTGTTTGTTACTGGCAGCCAGTTCTTAGGGAATCCAAGTTATATTCCCACTGACCTCCTAGAGATGAGGCCCTCCTTCCTTAGACACTGGAGTCTGTGAAGTATGACGGGCAGTTGTGTGTGAGCCATCTGTCCATGATGATCTGGCTTTTGACTTTTTTTTTTTATACGGAAGGAGGAAGATGATATGAAGCTTGGATCAAAGGCAGGGTTGTTTGGGGTTTTTTTTTAAGTATGTTTTTATTGATTTTAGAGAGGGAGGGAAAGAGAAACATCCATTGGCTGCCTCCTGCACTCCCACTACTGGGGATCAAGCCAGCAACCCCGGTCATGTGCCTTAACTGAGAATTGAACTGGCAACTTCTTGGTGCATGGGATGACGCTCAACCAACTGAGCTACACCAGCCAGGGCTGATCTGGCTTTTTGTTAAGATGTATCCATGAGTCCAGTTCCCCTGTGATGGAAGTATGGGCCTGTCCAGCCCTCTTCCAAAGATGATGTAGAATGAAAGACTGAGTTAGCCAAACTGGCTAAGCAGCTGCAACATGTGCCATATTGGTGACAACTGAAGAAGGTTAGCATTGTGTTGCATTTTAAGTTTTTACCATCATAGGAACCAGATCTTATAAGCCCCTAGAGACCCATTAGCCTCACCTCTTCGATAAACTTCTCTAGATCCCATTAACTTCACTGTCAGAAACAGAACCCCACCACTTACAGTAGTGCTGCTACCTTCTGGATTCTGAGAACCCAGCCCGTAGACTCCTGCAGGGCCCCCTTCTTTCCATCCAGTGGAATGGGTAGTAAGAGGTAGGCATTTGGCTAAGGCAGCTCATTTATTAAGAATAAATTTACAGCCCAGCTGGCATGGCTTAGTGGTTGAGCATGGACCTATGAACCAGGAGGTCTCGGTTTGATTTCTGATCACAGCACATACCCGAGTTGTGGGCTCGATCCCCAGTGTGGGGCATGCAGGAGGCAGCGATCAATGATTTTTTTCTCATCATTGATGTTTCTATCTCTCTCCCTCTCTGAAATCAATAAAAATCTATTTAAAAAATAAAAAATATTTAAAAAGAAATTAACAGATTTTTAAAGTCAGTTTTTCTCAACAGAAGCATAACTGAATGATGAAACCAGTTTTCTTTAATTTTTTTTTTTTTTTTTAACAGGGCTGAGGCCTCAAAGACCTCAGGGACTTCTTTCAGTACTCACAGAAACCTACACCCTGGTGATGGCACATAGGGACTGTTTTCTTGCTCTAAGTCTGAATGACTGCCAAAAAGGAAGGCAAAGGTAGAGCAGTTGGATCTCTGGCTCTCCCCATAGCTTCTAATCTCAGACCTTCATAAACTCCTTTCTGAGCCCAAGGACAAAGTTCACTTGAACAAATGATTTTGAGTCATGAATGAAAAATTTTGCTCTTTCCACAATGAGAAAGAATTCAGAGATGGACAGGTAAGCAAGCACTTCTGTTTTGGGGGAAACGTTTGGTGTGGGATATGTCATTAATAGTAATAAAAGCATGTATCAAGAGAATGTGGCTGTAACCGGTTTGGCTCAGTGGATAGAGCACCGGCCTGCGGACTCAAGGGTCCCAGGTTCGATTCCGGTCAAGGGCATGTACCTTGGTTGCGGGCACATCCCCAGTAGGGAGTGTGCAGGAGGCAGCTGATCGATGTTTCTAACTCTCTATCCCTCTTCCTTCCTCTCTGTAAGAAAATCAATAAAATATATTTTTAAAAAAAAGAGAATGTGGAACTTTATGTGTAGGAAAAACCCTCATTATCGTTCTCTTTGTTCTATTAGAAGAAGCTTCTATTCACCTCTGGGTTGGTTGCCTTCCTGAGATCTTATTTTCTTAGTGGGTTATGGGATTTGAGTTTGGATTTGCTTGGTAGGAGAACTTCAGTGAGGAATCTTCCTAGACATTTGTATTTCATTGATTTGTATCTCATTGATTCGGCCTGATTATCCTCAGGACTCTTTGGTTCAGTGTGACCTATCTCTGTGCAAGTCTTAACTTTCCCACTACCTTGCCTAGAAATGTATTCTTAGAGGGAGGAAAGGAGAAAGAGATCGAGATTGATTTCTTGTTCCACTTACTTATGCATTCATTGGTTGATTCTTGTATGTGCTCTGACCAAAAAATGTATTCCTAAGTGGAGCCTGTAGGATTCAGTGGTTGGAACTAGGACAAGGCCTTTTTGCTTTGGTGGTTGCCTTCACTGAATTAAGACAGGTGAACTGTATTCCCAAAGGGAAGTTTTTGGACACTGGAGGGGACTGAACTGGAGGGGGAAAAAAAGGATGAAATGAATCCTGAGTACACAGACCCCTGCAGGGAGTTGTTCAGCATGGTGAATCACCAAATATTTTTGATAACGTATTTTGTGCCTAGTACTATGTGAATGAGTATGGGAAACATAAAAGAAGTATAAGAGAAGGTCCTTACGCTCAAAGCAGCAGATTCTGATTGGGGAGACAGGCCTTGGCAGAGAAACCTGTGGCTTTTGGACTTGAGGTAAGTGAGATGCCATTGTAGCCCCAGTTGGTAAGGTCGGCCACCTTTAGGAGGTAGAACTGATTTTGAAGGGAATAGAGGACACAGAGAAGTTAGAGGTAGGTGTGTATTCTAGAGGAAAATCACATGACCCCAGAAATAGAAGTGAGAGTAATTGCAATAGTGTGTTCATTGAATTGACGTGGGAAATACTAGTACTTAGGCATCAAGAGGCCAGTTATGGAGGAGTTGGCTCAGTTGTGGTGTGTTAGGGCGTCCATTCTCATCTCCCAGGGATAAAAAAAATCAAAGCTGATTTTAAGGAGTATTAGCAAAAATATGTAGGAGGGATTAGAGTAATGGGATAATCTAGGTTTATAGGGCTTTGACTTCAGCAGTGATTCCTTTATTAATCATTTTCCTTTGATTATTATTTTTTATTTATTCTACAGAAAATAATCCATTCACATAATTCAAAATTCAAAACATACAGAGTATATGCTATGAAAAAATTGCCTGCTAGTCCTAGCTGATTTGGCTCAGTGGATAGAGTGTCAGCCTGTGGACTGAAGGGTCCCGGGTTCAATTCCAGTCAAGGGCACATACCGGTTGTGGCTTGATCCCTGGCCCTGGTCAGGGCGCATATGCGGGAGGCAACCAATTGATGTGTCTCTCTCACATTGATGTTTCTCTCTGTCTCTCCTCCTCCTTTCCACTCTCAAAAAATCAATGGAAAAATATCCTTGGGTAAGGATTAACAACAACAGCAACAACAAAAAATTGCCGCCCTAGCTGGTTTGGCTCAGTGGATAGAATGTCAGCCTGTGAACTGGAGGGTTCTGGGTTCGATTCCAGTCAAGGGCACATGCCCAGGTTATGGGCTCGATTCCCAATAGGGGGTGTGCAGGAGGCAGCCGATCAATGATTCTCTCTCATCATTGATGTTTCTATCACTTTCTCCCTCTTCCTTCCTCTCTGAAATCAATAAAAATATATATATTTTTAAAATTGCCTTCTACCCTTGTCCCCTGGCCACCAGTTTTTCTGTTGGAGGCAAACTTACCACTTCTGGAAATAGTCTCTGCAGACAAGCAAATATGATTATGTATTATTTTTAAATATAAATAGTAAAACAGTGTATAATCTGTCCTTTGCTTTTTCACTTAATATGCCATGAAGATTGTCACATATTGTCCATAAAGCACTTTCTTATTCTTCTTTATGTGTATAACAGGCTATCATTGAGTGAATATGCTTTAATTTATTAGTTCACTAGTGAACATTTACTTTTTTTACCCTTTTACTATTATAAACAGTGCTACAGTGAATGACACCATAAGCGTTTTATTTTGCACATGGATGAGTATATCTGTTATGAATCCTAGAATGCAATTGCAGGTCCAGAATGTACAAAGCATGTATAATTTTGTCAGGTATTGTCAAGCTGTAGAAGTGGAAACAATTTACTCTCCAGTATTTGGTGTTTGATAATACACTAAGTGAAAAATGTTATTTCAGAGTAGTTTTATTATACATTTCTCTTATCCTGAGTAAGGTAGAGCATCTTTTCATATGTTTAAGAACTATTTGTGTTTCTTTTTGTGTAAAACAGCCATATCTATGCCTGTTTTTCTACTGGTTTGGGTTATTTTTCCTTATTGGTTTTAGAACTAATTTTTAACATATTAGGTAAATTAGTGCTATACGGGTGGTATGAGTTGCAAAAAGTTTGTCAGGTGTGTTTTTTTAAGCTCTCATAGGGGACAGGTTTGGCTGAGCGGAAAGGCCAAAAGTGAGGGAACTGCCTCACTGAACTTCACTTACTCAGAGACCTTTAACAGATCCAGGAAATCTGTGTAAGATTTTTGAGATAACATTAACTCAGTTTTTCGCAGTTTTCCTTAACACTAGATTAAACAGAAGCTTTTCCTTATAGTATTTCTTATAGTTAACTTCTTAGGAGTCCATCCATATGTGTGTGTGTGTGGGGGGGGGGGGGGGGAGGTACTGGGAAAAGCTGTGACATTTAAGCTGTCATCTTTGGGGCTGACATGTGCCTGGGAGAGTGACTCTGGTTTGTCTTTCAGGTCGAAAGTGTGTCTGCTGGGAACTCTCCACCAAACGACAAGAACAGCAGTGCTCTTCTGGCTTTCAGAGGAATTCCTGTACATATTGCACACACTTTAGTACCTCCCGCCAATACAAGTGTTTGTTGCATGCCATTAGGTGGTGCCAGGAACCCATGACACAGGATGGCATAGACCCTGCCCTCCAGGAGCTCATACTGAGGGGAAGAGGTGTGGGGCACAAACAAGCAAAAAACAACCTCTGTCTAGTAAGATAATTGCTCTAGTGAAGCAAAATATAAAGTGCAATGGGAATACCAAAGGCTCACCACAGTCTCATTGAATTGTGTGGATTTTGGTTGTTTACTATTCATGGAAGGCATACACGTCCCCACATCACTCAACTTGTGCATCAGAGTTGGAGCTTTCCAGGTGCCTCTCTTTAAAATTGGCTTTAATCAACCCATCAAGGTAGACTAGCTCCTTCTGGCCTCCAGTTTCAAGGATATTCAGTACCATGGGTGGGGTTGGGGGGACATCGATCTACCCTTACACTAAAGATCACTGCCCTGCAGATCTCGGAGTTGAAGAACCACAGCCTCCTCCGGGCCCTGACAACAGAAGCTAATGGATGGGCGCCAGGTGGTAAGTCCCCTTTAGGGCCCTTGGAGCCTGGGTGGGGCCCAAGTCAGAGCTGCCCATGGATCTGCTTTTCATCATTTGAATTTCTCACTACTTGTCCTACAGAATTTTGCAGATTTATCATTATTAAAGGAAAATTAGAATCAACACTGGAGGAGTCACAAGATCTGAGTTATAATCTAGCCCCAATAGCCCTGTTAGTGACTGACTATGTGCCTTTGGGCAAATCATATAATCTCTGTGTCTACAGTAGAAATATTAAAACCTCCTTTATGCTCAAAAGGATATTATGGCCCTGACTGGTTTGGCTCAGTGGATAGAGCGTCGGCCTGCGGTCTTAAGGGTCCCAGGTTCGATTCCGGCCAAGGGCATGTACCTTGGTTGTGGGCACATACCCAGTAGGGAGTGTGCAAGAGGCAGCTGATCGATGTTTCTCTCTCATTGATGTTTCTAACTCTCTATCCCTCTCCCTTCCTCTCTGTAAAAAATCAATAAAATATATTTTTTAAAAAAAGGATATTATGATAATGAAATAAGACAGTATATGCAAAAGGACTTTGAAAAAGCATCCTATTTTATCTGCTTTACATGGTTCTTTCCTACATTACTGGGTGGGCAAAAGTAAGTTTACAGTTGTTCGTATGGAAAATAATACAATAATCTATATATATAAAAGCCTAATATGCATATTGTCCCCTCGGGAGTTCAACCGGGAGACCAGGAGTTTGATTGCTCGCTATGACGTGCGCTGACCACCAGGAGGCGGTGTGGAACGAAGGGAGGCCCCGGCTGGCAGCTGGCAGGCCCCAATCGGCCCTGATCGCCAGCCAGGCCTAGGGGCCCTACTCATGCACGAATTTCGTACACTGGGCCTCTAGTCTATATATATAAAAGCCTAAGCGACTAGCCAACTGGCTGGTAGCTATGATGCGCATTGGCCACCAGGGGGCAGACATTTAATACAGGAGCGGAAACCACAGGCATGGAAACATGGAACAGACTGATGAATTTCGGAGGGAGGAGGGCAGGAAGAGATTAACTGAAGATCTTATATGCATGCTAGAGGCCCTTGGCCTGACCTGTGTGTGCCCTCTTGCAATCTGGGACCCCTCGGGGGATGTCAGAGAGCCGGTTTTGGCCCAATCCCTGCAGGCCAGGCCGAGGGGCCCACTGGTGCACAAATCCATGCACCGGGCCTCTAGTTGATAAATAATAATACAAGTATAAACTTTGTTTTGCATACTTACAATTATAAACCTACTTTTGCCCCACACTTTTTTGTGGGGTTGTTGTTTTTTGTTAATCCTCACCAGAGGATATGTTTCCCAATGATTTTTAGAGAGTGGAAGGGAGGGAGGAAGGGAGAGAGACATAGATGTGAGAAACACCCATTTACAACCTAGGTATGTGCTCTTGACTAGGAATTGAACCTGCAACCCTTTGGTGCATAGGCTGGTTCCCTAACCATTGAGCACACCAGCCAGGGCGAAGGGGGTTTTTTGTTTGTTTTTTACTGTCCATGGTCGAGTATTCTGTATTCTGTTGAAGTTATCCAACTTGGAAGCCCTGAGGTTCTGTGTCTGCTGCCCCACCCAGAGTTTGGGACTGGCAAGATTGAGTTTCCCAGAGTTCCAGACATTCAGGACCCCGGACCTATCTCATCTGCCACCACTTCACTGCCCTGCTGGTCCCAAGCCCACGACTGTGTCCATAATATTAGCTAACATGTATTGAGCACTTACCTTTGGGCCACATATTCCCTGAAGAGGTCGAAGAGTTACATCATCCCCATAGTCCCATGAGTGATTACCAAAGGTTAGGTAATTGGCCCAAAGAACAGCTAATAAGTGGTGGAGATGAACTGTTCACCAGCAATAGGCTCTAGAGCGGTGGTTCTCAACCTTGGCTGCACATTAGAATCACCTGGGAATCTTTTTAAAATCCTGATTTCTGGGCCTCATCCTCCGGAAATTCTGTTTCTTTGTTACTAATGTTGTCGCCCCACCCCATAACAAAGAAACAGAATTTCCGGAGGATGAGGCCCAGAAATCAGGATTTTAAAAAGATTCCCAGGTGATTCTAATGTGCAGCCAAGGTTGAGAACCACCGTCTTATAAGAACTCTTGTGATTATATTGGTCCCACCTGGATAATCCAGGATACTCTCCCCATCTGAAGATCCTCAACTTAACTACACCTGCAAAGCCTCTTTTGCGAAACAGAATTTCCGGAGGATGGGGCCCAGAAATAAGGATTTTAAAAAGATTCCCAGGTGATTCTAATGTGCAGCCAAGATTAAGAACCACTAGAGTGTGCTTTTAGCAACCATCTGCTACCGCTTCCCAGCCGCTTGCTCTTCCTCATTATCCACTAGTGTTTTGAGTTCTTGATAGAATTTTATTTAATTTGCAAGTATACTTTCAAAACAGTTTGTCACGTGATGTCCTCAGCCATGAGTTCAAGGCAGAGAGGAATTGTCCTAAACTGCTTTTACCACTGAGGCTGGAGGGATCACAGTTTTTGGTATTTAACTGAAGTCTCTTCATCCTTTCCACTATTTGTTGATGTCCTCCATAGCAAATGGGAAAAACCAGTGACAGGATGCTACTAGCAATTTGGGCCAGAGAGTGGCAGCTGTGGTTTGGAGAAAAGGGCCATGTAGTGGCTATAGAGAGCCTATCCTGCTGTTTTTTTTTCTTCTCCTTTCCCCCCTCTTATCATGCTTTATTCATTCATCAAATATTGAGCACATGTTATGTGTCAGGCACTGTACTAGGTTCTGGAGAGCCCCGCTCTCATGTAGCTCCCAGTGCAGTGGGAAAGATGGTCCCACACTGATAAAGCATCCAGGTGAGGGTGATAATCAGAATTAACTGAAGGATGAGAAGGAGTTACACCAGAAGGGGTTGCAATTAACGGGGCTTGCTGAGTATCGGCAGAGGGAGAGCAGTCTGTGCCACGGCACTGAAGGTGGGAAGTATAGAGAAACTTTAGGTATCCTTTACGTCCTACAGCAGAGTTAGGTACAAAGGGTTCAGATTGTGAGAGTACTTAGATGCTATGCTAAAGAGTTGAGTTTTACCTGGAGAGTTATGGAGGATCCCTGGAGGGTTTTGACCAGGGGAGCCAGGGTGGGACGTCAGATCTGCCTTTCCGAAAGCTCACCCTGGCAGCCTCGTAAAGAGGGTATCTGAGGGCAACAGGACCCAAGGCTGGGGGCTGACGGTGATCCAGACCACCCTGAGCTCAGAGGGTCTCCTTTTCTTACCGTTGCAGTTGTGAGCCCCGAGGTGCTCAGAGCTCAGGAAGAATGGGAAGCCGTGCAGAACATCCAGCCAGAGACAGGTAACTGCAAGAATAGCACTATCGCCACACAATCTGCTGCTGGTAAAGGCACTGTCCACACATGAGGCTAATGTTTCTGTGGCTCTGAGATTAGGAGACAGTTCCTAGATGGTCCTATTTTGGCTGTGTGCAATAGAATAAAAACTCCAAATCTAAATATGACTTTCTGGGAGAAATGGGAATGAATGCCATGGGGAAAGGGCTGCCATCTACCCAGCCCTGAGAGAAGTCAGGGAGGACCTTGGCATGGTCAGCTTCTGTAGGGAGATGAGGTTAGCAGAAGGATGGAGGCGGGCAGCTGGGGCCCCTGCATAAGGCTGAGCAGGTTGTTCACTGTACAAGGAAATCCCTGGAGTGGGGCTGAAGCCATCTCCTGGAAGGCTCTGAGCTTGGTAAAAATCGTCTCTCATCTCTTTCTGAGAGCTCCAGGACAGCAGAACTAGGACCATATGGGAGAGATGTTACTGTTAACTGGCAAGTTAATTCCCTGTGGACTGGAACAAAGGATGGAGAGAGGGCCATTCATATGTAGGGTGTGAGAAGGGTCAAAGTAGGAATTAGGAAATACCCCTAAGCAAAACTGTGGCACACTCTTATGTGTGTACCTACTCCAGTCAGTGACACCCCCTCCCAGATGAGTGGAATTTAGGGAGCCCCTGAGGGGCAGATGTATCCCTACTCACAGCATAGATTGGCTTGCAAGCCTCTGACCAGCCTGGTGTGGAAGGGAAGTTGATCCAGCAGCTTTGGGTGTCTGATGTTTACAGCTGGAATCTGAGCTTAGAGGTGACAACTGGAAGGCCTCAGTGAATGGCTGCTGACACTGACTACTGTTACAAACCTGGGGTTTCTGCCTCTTCCCTTTGGCCACAGGAAGCCAGACAGACCAGCCTGCACAGCTGATCTCTTTCAGTGAGGCCCTGCAGCATTTCCAGACCATTGACCTCTCCTCCTTCAAGGTATGACATAGGGACGTTTGGGATCTCCAGCAAAGCACTTCTTCCCAGGAGCCAGATTTCTATCCCACCAGGACAGGGCACTGGGCAAGCAGATGGCAGCTTCTAGTTGAGGATCCTATCTCACCTAGAAAGATCTTGGGGTACAGGGTCGTGGCTGCCAAAGACCCTTGTTGCATGCAGGGCCCCCGTGGCCTTTCTGGACCTGTGCCCCAGAGCTCCGGTGGCCCTGTCATACAGAGGTCCATGTAGCTGCTCCCTGCTCTTCCCTCTTAGCAATGGGAGGTCTGGAATCAAGTGCTAGATAGTTCCTTGAGGAAGCAAGGCAGCCTGTCCAGAGCTGAGTAATTAATGGCTAATGTAGGAAAATCTTCCATTCTCTCAAGGTATTAGAAGCTATCTGGGAATTTTAAAAATATGTAAGATTGGAAAAAGAAAGAATCCTGTATAATAAAAGGTAATATGCAAATCTACTGAACGGTGGAACAACTGGTCGCTATGACGCACACTGACCACCAGGGGGCAGATGCTCAACGCTTCCCCCACCAGGAGCTTCCCCCTGGTGGTCAGTGCACTCCCACAGGGGGAGCGCTGCTCAGCCAGAAGCCAGACTCATGGCTGGTGAGCGCAGCGGTGGTCCTAGACTGCAAGAGGGCGCAGGGGGTCCTAGACTGAGAGAGGGCGCAGGCCGGGCTGAGGGACACCCCCCACCCCCACAGTGCATGAAATTTCGTGCACTGGGCCTCTAGTAATGAGAATAAAAGCTGGCAAGCTTTCTGGGGCATCTTGAGTGACCAGTAGTAAGTTTAGAGGAATGTGATTTCAGATCTCGTACCTAAAACCTGGCTCAATAGAGAGGCTGCGAAGATAGGAATCAGGTTGCCAGAAGCTACCCAGATCAGTTTGTTCTAAGTCCCTGGCAGTGGCCCTGAGCAATGAGAAGTCAGCATGACCTGGTTTAGGAAGTGCTGGTTGTGGTGGTAGCAGAAGGCTTTAGCTCCCCTCAGAGGTATCCAGCTCCAAAAAAGTCTCCACTCAACTTCTGTCCCCACTGGCTGTCTCATCCTGGAATTTGAGAGTGGTGCTAGACTTTATAAATTACGTCCTTTATGGAGAGAGACAGAGGCAGGCATACAAAGGCTATGCAGAAGCAGCCCTGCTAGGAAACCTGGTCTGGTGTTTGTGAGACCACCTGGGGGAGTCCCCACAGCCAGCCTCCTTGACAGTCGATGGAATAGCTAGTTCTGGAAGAGCCCGAAGGACCAAATGTACACGAGTGATAATGCTTGGGGACATGTCTCTCTATTTACAAAGGACTTAAGAGCTGGGAGAGCCTGTCTCCAGAGATCCCACAGATGCTTCACAGCGTCTGCCCCCTTTCTCTGGCCCAGAGACCAGCCACTTAATTGGAGAACTATGTCTTTCTGCAAGAACAGTCCCTGTGCTCAGCCTAATGATAAGTTCATGAAAGCGGGTGGACCTAGCATGCTACCCATTACCTGCTACTTTCTCCCCAGAAAAGAATCCAGCCAACAATTCGAAGGACTGGGCTTGCCGCCCTCCGGCACTGCCTCTTCGGGCCTCCAAAGCTCCACCAGGGCCTCCGTGAAGAAAGGGACTTGGTCCTGACCATTGCTCAGTGTGAGTGCACTGGTGCTGCCACAGAGCAGGTGCTGCATGAGGTCAGGCAGAGAGCACTGCTTGCCCACCCTGTGACTAAGCCTCACCCAAGGGTCTTGCATTTTCCATGTTGACGTGGGGAGCAGGGACTGAGAGGTAAAAGTCTGGGAGAACAGGGTGTCTTGAGTACAGTCTGGATCTATCTTGAGAAGCACTTAGTCTTCCCTTGAAGGGCAATCCAACAGAAACATGGGTGTGTTTTGGGGCAGGTGGCCTGGATAGCCGAGACCCAACACATGGCCGAGTCCTCAAGACCATCTATAAGAAGCTGACCGGCTCCAAGTTTGACTGTGCCCTCCACGGCGATCACTGGGAAGATCTGGGCTTTCAGGGTAAGAGAGAGGAATGGTTCATCATCTTCTTTTCTTGGACCCCTGATTCCAGGACTAGAGAGAGAGCCCAGCACCATGTGGAGGGGTATCTGGGAAAGCCTTCCAGGAAGAGGGTAGAGCAAATGCAAAGGCCCTGGCATGAAGCTTGCTTGCCTCTGTTAGAGAAACAGCGTGGCTGACGTGAGAAGAGAGTGGCAGGAGAAACGCTCACTCGTGGCCGTGCAGACCATCGTCAAACACTCGGGTGGAAACCACTGAGTGATATGATTTGGAATCTGGTTTTTTCTTTTTCCTCTTTGCCACTAATATTGATGAAAAGTTTGTTTTATTTTATTTTATTTTATTTTGAGTGAAACAAAATTATTTCACCTGCTTTTGGATTGTGCTACTCTTTTTTCAAAATCATACCAAATTACACTTGTATAGAATAGGAACAAATCTTAATTTTAAAAGGAAACTTTATATACCCATAATTAATTGACAGTCTGTTGGTGTTGACAACATGTTTAAGTCCATCCTCCCTCAAGTATAATTGTCTTAAATATGTCCTCTATAAACACTGAAAATCATATGAGTGTTTGATTTTTGTTTCAACCGTTAAACAACTTAAGAATCTCAAGAGAAGCAAAATCCATTGTATTTACTTTTCCATTGTTCTTTTTTCCTTTCTGATATTCCACGATTCCTTTTATCATTTCATTTCTGTTTCAAAACATCCTTTAGGCATTTTCTTATCTAGGTCTACAGGTGATAAATTCTCTTACCTAATCTGAACAATGAGAGAAACAAGTCATCTGAGAATGACTTGATTTCCCCTTTACTCCTGAAGGGTAATTTTCCTGTATATTGAATTCCATGTTGACAGTTCTTTTTCAGCACTTGATAAATGTGCTACTGCCTTTTGGGCTTCATGGTTTCTGATGAGAAAACGCTGTCATTTTTAAAAATATGTTTTTATTGATTTCAGAAAGAGGAAGGGAGAGGGAGAGAGAGAGAGAAATATCAATGATGAAAGAGAATCATCCATCTGCTACCTCCTTCATGCCCCCTACTGGGTATCGAGCCCGCAACCCGGGCATGTTCCCTGACCAGGAATTGAGCCATGACCTCCTAGTTCAGTTCACTGAGGAACACCAGCCAGCAAGCTACTGTCATTTGAATTATTTCTCCCTGATAGTTAAGGGGTTGTTTTTCTCTCTGTTTTCCAGATTTTTATTTTTTGGTCTTTAGTTTGCAGCGTTTTGATTATGAGGTGTCTTGGTGTGGATATCATTCACCTTATTCCATTTGGGGTTTACTCAGCTTCTTGGATCTGTAGGTTTTATGTCTTTCGCCAAATTTGTTAAATATCCACTCATTAATACTTTTGAGTACTTTTTTCAGCCCCACACTTTGTCCTCTCCTGTGGGACTCTGATGGCACAAATGCTAGGTCTTTTGTTATTGCTCCACAGGCTCTGTCTATAGCTCATGGATCTCTGAAGTGCTCCTCATTTTGTTTTGTTTTTCCCCTCGTTGTTCAGATTTTGTAATTTAAATTGTTCCATCTTCAAGGTCACTGATTCTTTTGCTGTTATAGCTATTCTGCCATTGAGCCCATCCAATGGGTTTTTAATTTTAGTTATATTTCTTTACTGAGACTTTCATTTCTTTTCTAAGTATGTTAGTAATTGCTTATCAAAGGTTTAGTAGCTATAACAACACAAATAGGGGAGTTCTGTCGTTTGGAAATCTGAACCAGGTCTTACTGGGGTAAGATCAAGGTGGCAGCAGACCTGCACTCTTTTGGGGGCTTCAGTAGAGACTCTGTTTCCTTGTCTTTTTCACCTTCTAGAGCAGTGGTTCTCAACCTTCCTAATGCCGTGACCCTTTAACACAGTTCCTCATGTTGTGGTGACCCCCAACCATAACATTATTTTTGTTGCTACTTCATAACTGTAATTTTGCTACTGTTATAAATTGTAATGTAAATATCTGATATGCAGGATGTATTTTCATTGTTACAAATTGAACATAATTAAAGCATAGTGATTAATCACAAAAACAATATGTAATTATATATGTTTTCCGATGGTCTTAGGCGACCCCTGTGAAAGGGGCGTTCAACCCCCAAAGAGGTCGCGACCCACAGGTTGGCTACCCACAGGTTGAGAACCACTGTTCTAGAGGCTGCCTGCACTCCTCCTTCATAGCATCTCTCTGATCCCGATTCTATTCTCACATCTTTTTCTGATTCTGTTTCTGCCTCCCTCTTTCACTTTTTACATTGGGCCCTTCAAGATAATTCAGGGTAATTTTCTTATCTGCTAACTAGCAACCTTAATTCTACCTGCAATCTTAATTCCCCCTTGGCCTGCAACATTACATATACATAGGTTGTGGGGATTAGGACAGGTACAGTTTGGGAGGGGCCATTATTCTGCCTACAGCAGCTGCTTAAAAACCTTTATCTGGTGTTGCTATTTAGTGATTGCCTTTTCTCATCCAAATTGTGATTTTCTTTGTGCAACAAATGATTTTTTTATTGTGTCCCGAACATTTTGGGTATTGAGTAATGAGACTCTGGGTCTTCTTTAAGTCTTCTATTTTAGCAGGCCTCCTCTGATACTGAGCCAATTGGGGGAGGAGGCTGTGACCTCATTACTTCAGATGGGGTGGGAACCCAGTTACCCCACTTGACCTCCACTGGTACCACTGGCTGGGAAGGGCAGAGGTGCCTCATTACTGTTCCCGTGTGGCCTCCACTGACGTCCACTTCACTTCCAGTGCCACCAGAGGGAGGGGGCTCCTTAGCACCAGGAAGGGATGAAGTCCCACTTCTCTGACTGCCCTGCTAAGGGGTGTCTTGTTACAGTCTGGGCTCTCCACTTGGCCTATAACTAAGTCATTGACGCTCCTGGCAGCAGGCATTTCATTAAGTATTGCTCTCATCACCCTCAACTTCCTCCTGGTTTCTGCTATAGGAGCAAATCCAGCCACAGACCTTAGAGGAGCGGGCTTCCTTGCCCTCCTGCATCTGCTGTACCTGGTGATGGACTCAAAGACCTTGCTGATGGCCCAGGAGATTTTCCGCCTGTCTCATCACCATATCCAGGTGGGGCTTTGGTGGGAAGCCAGCAGAGAGGGCTGTGGAGCTAGGACCTGGGCTCAGGGCTCTTTGAGCAGCCAGGCGGGCCTCCCAGGTAAATTTCTCTCATTGTTGAGGGCTCTTAGGACAACTGGGGCAAACCAGGATTGGTCTTCCCCTGTCAGTGCTGGGATCTGAGCTCTAGCACTCATTAGCATGAGTCTCAGGCATTGCCTCAATTCCCCAGAGCCTCAGTTTCCTCATCTGTAGAATGGAAATCATGGAAGCTTCAGCGGGGTAGTCGGAAAAATTAAAGGAGATAATGTAATAAAGCACTAAGTGACTCACCACCCTCCCAGGGAAATCCCTGAGTCTGAAGGAAAAGAGTCGCCTTGTGTGCCCCAGAGAAGGTTTGCCTCTGGGTCAGGAGTTACTGACAGGCCAGAAGTGGCTTTTGTAGCCCTCAGTCTCTGTCCAGGTCTGCTCTCTGGGGTTGGGTTTGGTGGTTTTCCCAGTTAGTAAAAGGCGGTAGGTAGTCCCTCCATTTTAGAAAGTGAATTTGACCTGTTTCTTGCCATGCATCTCTCAGATTTGTGGGACCTGGAATTCATTCACTAAACAAATATTTATTCAGCCACCTCCTGTGCTAGTTATTTTTCTTGAAGCTTGAGATACATCAGTGAGCAAAACAAACAAAGATCCTTCCAGCAGAGAAGACAAGATAGTAAGCATAATACATACACTAATGGTAGGACATGTTAGAAGGTGATGCGTGTGCTAAGGGAAAACCACAGGTGGGGTAAGTTTGGAGAATGTGGGGAGGGGGTTGCAGTATTTTAGGGGATGGTCAAGGTAGCTCCCATGAGAGGGCAAGACTTAAACCAAGTCTTGAAGAGTTGAGGATGTTAGCCAAGCTGGTTTCTGGGGGAAGAGCATTCCACACAGAGGGAGCAGCTACAGCACAGGTCCTGAGGAAGGAGTGTCTGCATGTGAAGGAATAGCAGGGAGGCTGGCTGGAGCGGAAGGAGGAGGGAGGGCAGGAGGGAAGGAGGTCAGAGGGTAATAGGGACCAGATGGCGTAGTGCCTGGTAGGTACGATGAGGGCTTTTGATTTTACTCTAAGCAAAAAGAGGGTTTTCAGCAGCCTGGAGTACATGATCCAACTTGAAAGGTTTAAATGGATCCTACCAGGTGGAGAATAGTCTAGGGCAGCAATTTTTAACTGATATGCTACAAGAATTTTTAAAACATGTCATACCTATTTAGTCAGGGGCACTGACTCTTTTTCCTTAGGTTCTCAAATAAAAATAAAAAAATGACAACAGCCAACACAACAATAGCCATTTGGTGTGAATGAATCAAAACTATACCTTTGTCAGATCGGCAAACAGTGCAGTAATAGATTTTTTGGTGTGCTGCAGAATTTTAGTAATTAGTTTATGTGTGCCACAAGATGAAGAGGTTGAAAATCTCTGGTCTAGGGCTTTACAATCAAGTTGTAGATGATGGTGGTGTGGAGGGTCTTCTCAGATGAGGTGGCGTGAAGTGTTCAGATGCCGGATATAGAATCTTTTTTTTTTAAATTAAATCTTTATTGTTCAGATTATTACAGTTGTTCCTCTTTTTATCCCCCATAGCTCCCCTCCACCTGGTTCCCACCCCCCCCTCTGCCCTTACCCCCCCTCCACTATCCTCATCCATAGGTGTATGATTTTTGTCCAGTCTCTTCCTGCACCCCCCACACCCCTTTCCCCCCAAGAATTGTCAATCCACTCCCTTTCTATGCCCTTGATTCTATTATATTCACCAGTTTATTCTGTTCATCAGATTTTTTTATTTACTTGATTTTTAGATTCACTTGTTGATAGATATGTACTTGTTGTTCATAATTTTTATCTTTTTT